CTCTTTTATTATAGTAGGGATTATAAAATCACAATTATGATTGAGCAATGGCAGAAACTAGAATGCTAAAATTTGGAAAATGATGCTAAAAACCATAATCTACTTAGCTAGACACAAACTAAAATCTATGCAAAAACTTGAACAGGGTTCTAGTAAGAAACTTGTGTTTGCAGCAGAATGATGGTAGCCAGCTGAAATCTACATTTCTTTTGGAATTCCTAAAACTCTTAAGAGGCTCCTGCAATAATTACTCCAGGATGAACAAAATGCTCAGAAAGTGCAGCTTGTGAGTTAACATAAGCCAGTAAGTTGATCCAGTGTTTTAAGATTAAATAGTTTAGTCTATAACGTGAAAACAAATCTGAACAACACCAATTTAGCTGCAGAATTGAAAGAAGAAAAGCAAGTTAATCGAGCAGAGGAATTTTACATTTTATTCCTTTTCTACCTTGAACTAAACTATATAATTGCCCAAAATCCTACTTGTTACACTAGAAAAAGAATTAGAGTGTGCAATATCTACATGACTTGAATGTTATGTCGATATGAGTTGAAACATCAATTTGTCCTACCACGCATTGAGTATTGTCCCCAATCAGCAAATGAAAATGTAATATCCAGTGAGCTTTGACTGTAAAAAGTCGAAGGATGTAATATCCTGCAAGGTTCTTTCCATTTTTGATCTTTGTAATTACTAGTTTGTTGCTCATTTCACGTGTACTTTTCTTTTTTTTTTTTTCAGATTTTCAGGTAGATTTCTCTCTTAAGGCACCCTGCAGTTTATCTAGTTTTGAAAAGGGCAACCTACCATTTATGTAATTCTGAAAGTGTCACCTTGCCATTTCACTGTTTTTGAAAATGGATTGTAGTAAGCATCACTTAGTATACTATAGATTCTTCATATTTGTTCATTGATTACATAACATGATAATTTTATGTTTTTTATTGTAGAAATGGAACACTCATTTGAGTATATGATTCACATTGAAGATGGAGCTAAAGGCAGACATTCACAGAAGTGTTCCCTTCAGAAGCTTGATTACGTTTGGGAGATGTTAGATGATATACCCCAAGAAATATTGATGGAATCTTGTTTTGGACAACTATATCAAATGAAGAGTATACATTTTTTTGCAGCCCAGCTTATAATGAGGATGATTGTAACCAGAAAAGAAAATGAGACATGTGGTTTCCAATTGGCGTTCCCTTCAGAAACTTGATTTTATGCCCTTTGTCAAGCTGCTGAAATTTTTGCCTTTCATTTTGATCCTTATCAATTTTCTTTGTATACTTTTTAATTTTTTATGGATGGAGGATATATGATTGCGATTGAATTTGTCTAGATGGTAGTGATTTTTATGATTTAATTGGGAAAATCAATTTATGTATGCTGATTTTGTGTAGTTGGTAGGGGTGTTTATGATTTTGATAGGGGAACAAGTGTATGGATGCTAACTAATGTTTATCATTGTATGGATGCTTTCTTTAGATAATAAAGCAATTTAGTTGAAATGGCATTGTGCAGTTTTTATGACAGCTTTGTATAGGCTTAAAAAAATAGATTGGTGTAACGAAATTAGCAGAAACGATAGTTCTATGTTTTAAACGGCCACGTGCCGTTTTGGGTCATGGGATCTACATTTCATTCCGAAACTAGTTTTGAACACCGTAGATGACTTGTACATACTAAATGAGTAAGAAAAAACTGAAATGAACATGAAATTAGTAGAAACATTAATCCCACATTTAAAATGGTCACATGCCGTTTTGGGTCACAAGGTCTCGATTTCAATTCAAAACTTGTTTAGAACACCATAGAATACTTGTGCATGTTGAATGAGTAAGAAAAAGTGAAATGGATATGAAATTAGTAGAAACGACATTCCTACTTGAATTCTTAAATTGTACATATTGAACGACTGTACGTTTTATGTTTTGTATGCCCTCAATCATAAAACCTAACCGTGAAACGATACCCATACGTTTAAAATGACCAGATGCCA